TATATATATATATATATATGTATATATATATATATATATATAATAAATGTGGTGAGAAAACCATAGGTTATCTCTGTCCTTGCCATTAAATATTTTAGACTTTTTGAGTTTGAAAGCAACTGAGGGAGGCTGTTTTAGTAGATTCTCAGAATTCTGCCGTCCAAACAGGCACCATTTGTGTTCAAAGTCTCGTTAGAAAATAAATAAACTTAAATTTGGCACATTTAGGTTCTCATTTCAAGGAGAGGAATGGTATCAAGGCATCATATGACACATCCTTTTCTATATACATTTATCATTGGGTAACGTTCACATAGTCTTCGTAAAATGACACGTGTCTTTTTTCATTTAATGAGTTCTACCCAAATTTTATATCTTCTCTAATATTATACAATATACAATTTGGCTTTATGGGAGGGATTTTTGGCCTATGATAACCACCGTGTATGGATGAAGGTGTGGTATTGGAGATCTTATTTTAACTTTTTCCTTTAGATTTGCAACGATGCATTGAATCAATTGAGTGATCCAAACTAGCTAGCTATATATTTCAAAAGGGTCTGTTGCAGAAACCATGATCACCACGTGGTAAGATGATGTAATATGTTAGGAGATGTCAGAGTTTTTAGAACATCTTATTTTTAAATTTTTAAATATTAAAAATTAATAATTCTTACAAAGATAAGACTCAAATTCAAAAAATTTATATTTAAACATTAAATACAATATTAATTAATCTACTAAATATTGATAATTTTAAATAATTATATTAAGTAAAATATAAAAATATAAAGTAACTCAACTCCACTGATATCAATAGATTAATTTCTATCATGGTTACTAAAATTGAATTGAGCGATCATCCGGTTACATCGGAAACTAGCCTTTAACTAGTTTAATTAGTTTAAAAAATTGTTTTGTAATGAATCACTAGAAAATTAGTAAAATCGGTCAAAACAATATTTACATCAGTTCAATCCAAATTAATTTTAATTTTTAATCTCTACCTGCTAGGTTCACCTAAAAATAATATGTATAATAATATTGTATATTAAAAAAATAGTATAATTACTTCTTTTTTGTTACCTGTGAGTATAAAATATTGATCGTATAAATCACAATATCTATATATTAATAATTTATTTTTTGTTATACAAAAGAACTATGTGTATACTAATGAAGGATAATTCAATACTAAAGAGTTATTAAATGGTATATTTTTCTAGTGTACAATCTAATCTATCTGCTATTCAAATAATTTATCATTTTCTTATGGTTTAATTAAATTAAATTAAAGACAACAATAAATTATTAGTTCGAATAATTAATACTAACTTCGGTTCCTTTATAGATTTTTTACAAATATATGATTGTAGCAGAATTTATATGTTATCCTAACTTCCTTTGGTGAGTCACTCACAAAGCTTCTTGAATTTAGTGCGATTAACATGAGTATTTACATTAATGAAAAAAGTTTATTCAAGAATTATTAATATGTCTATTCTGGGAATGAAAGTGAGGGACTAAACCCCATTTTTTTATAATATATAAATCAAAGGTTATCCGTTGAGCAATTTTTTTTTTTTTTTGTCATCAACAATTTGAAATTGGATTTTTAGAATTGAGCTTAATGATATATATAAATCTCCCAACAAATTCGAGCATGACCACTGACATTAGTAGGTAGCATATGTATTAAGTATTAAAATTACCTGGAAATCTCAATTATACTTGCAATGGTGATGCAGTCTCCTATGTCAGGGAATTTGTGTCCCCAGAAACTCAAGAATTTAGAAAAGGATTATATTTTATCACCGTCCAAGAGCTGCAAATGTATGTATAACTTAAACTATATATTCTCAAATTCTGTCCTCGAATCTAAGAATATTATTTTATTTGAACATATAAAACACCTGGACATCTTCAATGCTGAAAAGTGGAAGTAAAACACATGCATCTTGTCTACTTATTTTAATGAATAAAATATTTTCTTTTCTTAAAGTTTTCTTATTTTATCTTTTATATTTTATTATTTAAAATAAACTTTTAATCTTTATACTTTTAAGTCACTTATTTTCTCCTTCAATCTCAATAGTTTAAAATTATTTTTTAATTTTTATAATTTAAAATAGATTTTTTAATTCATATACTTATCTTTTTTGTAACATTAACAAAAAAGACAATAACATGAGAAAAAAACTGACGATAAACAATTAAAAAAATAAAAAAAAATTACATGTATAGAAATCGAAAAGATTTATCCTAAATTATAAAGAAAGTTTTAAAAGATAAAAACAAAAGACTAAAAAGTATTTTAAATTATAAAGATTAAAAAATAAAATTATAGAAAATAAAATGGTATCTTAACCTTTTTATTTTCATTGATAAAGGTTTTGGTTTTATATTTACACTGATATCGATCTATATTCAAATTTTGCTGTCATCGTAGTTACTATTACCGATAAAAAAAATAATAAAAATTTGTCGCATTTAAATTTCTAATCAATGTATTAATTGTGCGGTGCCTCTATTGACTATCTCTAATACCCTTACGTAGCATGAAGACTTTATTTTGCCTTGTTAAAAGATAAACGTTTCCCCTTTTTAGGTAGAAATGAAAATGACATATGTGACATAAATAATAATAATAATAATAAGGTAGAAAGAAAAAGTAATTAATATAGGTTTTTTTTTAAGATAAACTTCTCTGAAAATCCAATAAAAAACCTAAATATACTTTTAGAAGAAAAGATTAAAAAAATTATTTTATAAGTAAAAATTAACAAATTTCTTTTGAAAAAATTAACTATATGAAACAAAAATTTACAAGTTAACTTACGTATAAATTAATTTTTTGTTTTTATTTTATTTTTTCTCCTAAAAAATACTTATGCAAAAGTTTAGCCAAATATATCTCAAAGAAAGAAAATAAAAAGAGAACAAATAAGATAGAAAATGAAGGAAACGAATCTTCATTGCTAGCAAATGAATAGTATTATTGTGTATGTGTATTAAATTTAAAAAAATAAAATAACCAAAATGATCAATAATATAGGACAAATAAATTAACAAACAATTATAGTTGAATTCCTAATTTAAGTATTATATTTATAAAGTCGGATTTAGTGAGAAGAAATTATACATCTTTATTAAAGGAAAAAAAATAAATTTAACAAAGTTTATCAACCTAAAATGCTTGTGTTCATGTCTTCTTAATTTGAACCTGATCACGTATAAATGCAAGGAATACTACTTTGTCTGCCGACATGCGTTACTTGATTAATTCTTGCAGCCTATTCGTATGAAATTAATTAAAGAACGAATCAATTTAACATTTCTTTTGGAGTTTTATTGGTAACATGGATATTGGTAACATGATTCAATTTGTCTTTTATTAGCGTTGTTCATGCTTCATTGTCTTCACATCACATCACGTACTAGCTACCCATGTATTTTTAATTTAATAAAAACATTAAAACCATTTGTTAGATTTAGGTGTCATGATAAAATCCAAGATTGGATCTAGCATGCTACTTATCCAAGTGCTCACACATTCAAGATATTTCTTTTTTTTTTTTTTTTTTTAATAGAAGACAATGTACTTAATCGTTAGATAGAAAAAGAATCATTCCATTCCCTGTCATTAGTTGTTTGACTTTGAGGTGCATATATCACACATGCTTTGGTGATGCTTTTAATTTTCAGTATGGCACGGACATTGCATCCTTTTGTCTTAGTACTTGAGTTACCCATGCGAATTTATTTAATGGTATAAATATATTTTTGAATAAAACAAAATTAAAAATGAGAGTAGAAGACAATACTATTGCATTATAGTTGAGCACTAAGCACTAACCATTACTTTCCATTGAATACCATACTTGTGATAATATTGCATTTGATAATATTATTATAGTAAGATCAGGAACATTATTTTATTGTTGAAGTATGACTAATTATACTACTATTGAACAAATATGCATACAAAAGTAACAAAATCATAATGAAACAAACAAGTTCAAAGGACACGGAGAATGGATGGAGGCACATATGTGAGATACTATTTGCATGCATATTATACTACTAATTATAATATTGAGGCACATATGTGAGATATTATTTCTTTTCCCGTTTTAAATATATTTGATAGTGATGACCTAACGATTAAATTTTGCAACAAATAGGCTTGCATTTCTCTATAATTGTGGTCAGATACAAAATAATTAATAACTTTCACAAGTTGAAAGGAGAATATATTATAATTGAGGAGAAAAAATGAGGTTAATTAGAGAATTTTTTCACTTTATATATAAAAGATCTATAAACAAGAAATTTTCATGTCAAGTTAATAAAGTTTGCGTGTTGAATATGCATATATTACATGAATGTAATATAAACATAATAATCACTCAAGTGAGTTTAGTAAATTAATAACAAATAAAACACGACCCAACTTAAGTGAGTTTAGTAAATTATTAACATAAATTAGATATATTCTAGTTGATCCAATAATAATTGAATTAGATAACACATTAATTTTTCCACTTAATTTAACCTGACCTAAAATTAATTTAGTTAGTAAAATACTAATAATTTTTCATGATTTGTAGTTGTTAGTGTTGTTTGAAAACGTATTATGACCAACTAATTATACATTTTAATTTTAAGATTTATAATTTATACATTATTTATTAATTTATAATTCTAATTAGAGTAGGAAAATACCACTGATTCAACCTAATCTAATCCAACCCAACATCCAATTATATTTCATCAGATCAATTAGATTGTTTGACCACTACAACACCATCTTCAGTTCATTCACTAGAATAAACACAAAATAAAAAAACCACTACAATACCATCTCGTGCTGAAGTAGTAGTTTTTATCCTAACTTCCAAAGCAATCGTTCCTGCCAACTAGTCTAACTCGTCAAGAACATCCAATAAATATAGTCAACCAACATTAACTGTGTCAAGCCTATATACATTACTTATCACAAAGAGAAAAAAAAAACAATAATACTAAACATAAAAAATTCTTCAAAAAAAAAAAAAATCAATAACTAATCTCTATTAAAAATCATAAAAACACAACATTAACTGTGTATACATTATTACTTATCACAAAAAAAACAATAATAGTAAACACGCAAAATTCTTATAAAAAATGACTAATCTCCATAAAAAATCATAAACACAAAAAATAAATATTTTCATTTCAACATAATTTATTACCAAATCCGGATTCATCAAGCAGTGTTTAAAAAACCGGACCACCGGTTCCCGGTCAGTCCGAACCTTAAGTTGGATCAGTTATGCAGTCGACCCGTTTCAAACCGGATTGAACTAGTCAATTTTCTGATTTAACCGGTGAACCAGTGGGTCAAACCAGTTCAACCACTTTTTTTTTTTAAATTTTTTTAAGGGACCATAAACCACAAAAATAATAATGAAATTAAATCTTTTAATGAAAGAACAAAGATTCTTATTAAATATAACAATGACTACTTGTTTTAATATATTTGTTTATATAATATACAACTTAAATATTTTTATAATATATTATTAATTTTATTATATATTTAATAATATAATATATATGTAGATATTACATATATTATTTTGTGATATCAATTGCAAACATATTATATATGTACATATTATTTATGTTTTTAATTTGTATTAATATACAGTTTAACATGTAATTTTTTATATATTTTTTACAAAATAAAAATAAAAATAATTTTAAATAAGATAGAAAAATTAAAATTTAAAATAAGATATAAATTTATTAAAATTTATAAGTATAAAATATATTTAATATGAATATTTTTTTAATAAAAATAAATAAAAACCGAGTTATGCAGTTCAACTAGTGAAGTTGAACCACCGATTCAACCTTTGACCCACTGACCCAATACCTTAACCGGTTTGACGAACGGTCCGATTTTTAAAACTATGATCAAGATCCATCATTGTTACATTGCCCAAAAACAGATTCCGGAAGCTGCAAGGTCCGGTTAATTAAGCATGTTAAATGTCACAACATTCTTGATGCCTTAAATTTTCGAAACGACAACTTTCATGTTTACACATGATGGTATTGACACATTTTACATAGCAAACTTTATAGGGTGACACAAAAAAAAAAAGCTGCTAACTAATACTGTATGAAGTATGTGCGACAACGACATGTATTCTCAAGATTTAAAATATTTACAATCATTATTGTTCATGACAATTTTATCACCAAACAAATCAAAATGTTCTTAATAAGTGCAGCATGAACCTAACCAAGACACAAAAGCACACCTCAATCTGCAATTACAGAAGAATGGGAAGCAATCAACTACCAAATCCTAATGTTCAATCAATATTGACTCTAACAACCTTCTTTGTTCTCCCCCCAGAAGCGGTTCCTGCCTCATAATTTGATGGAAATCCTCTCGCCCTTCCAGCTGGCTCCAAATATGGAAGTGACCAAACCTGGTTTCTGTTCTGCTTGCCACCGCTAGAACCTACAACATTGTCATGCTCTAAATTCAGACCAAATTTAATTAAACAATTCATGTTAGCAATCAGCTGTGATGAAATTAGGATTTTACATGTGTTGGAACATTGACATACAAATTAAACTACCATAGAAACGGACAGGTGTTATGTGTAATCAATTAGTAGACAACTCATAGAAGCATGCCCCATTTATAGACCATATGTTTAGTCATGCAAGTTTTGTAGCATAATCAAATGTGGCGGAAAAATTAAAATTAGATGAAAACATAAAACATGGAACTTGTAATGAGGAGGGATGTGAAGCCATGTAATTGATCAAACCATATTCATAGTCCTTGTGCAAGCTTTACAAATTTGTCATGAGGGCAACCGTAGCATAAACACAACTATTGAGTTTTGGAAATTGATATTGAACATCATATGTGAATAGGAATATGGCAATAAAAATTCACTCAATTTATAATGACTTATACTAATTTCCCTTGTACAGAAAAGCATACTGTAGCATCTATATAGTAGTACAAGCTCAAATACCCCTCTAAATTGAATGACAATGACAAATTGCAATGTAAATTAGGTTCAATTGTTCAGATGATTTTGAATCATGATTTCAGCCACAGATTGTATCAATGATAACCACATTTAAGCAATTACCAGTGCAAAACACGTGATTTTCTCATGTTGGCAAACAAGCTATTTGTCAGAAAGTTTGTGAAGTTGAACTATTTTGAACAAGCAGGAAACTTATTGGCTTAAAGAGGAAAATGAAAGCTTACCCCCGTTCCTATGCACATCAAATCCGGGCAATTGTGCCATATTATTTCCTTTCCATGCTGCTTCAAATCCAGCAAGCTCATCTGAAATATATATTAAAAAAAATACACCAATATTTAAAGGACAATAAAAACTACCTCTCTTGATATTGACAAACTAATAATCAAATAAGTATAAACAAACCTTCATTAAGATTGTACAGTGTCTGCTTGGTATCAACCTGACCATCTGAGTCAAGCTTCCTCAAAACTGAATGACCCTACATGCATGATAAAAAATAAAATAAAAAAGGCTTAATTTCTATGTTAAAATAAATTATACTTCTCCTTTCAAATTAACATAGAAGTCAAACAACAGGACAAAACCCTGACCATAATAACATTCTCTTTTCTGATAGGAGGTTTTGTTTTATTCTTGATTGAAGAAAAAGGCAGTATCATAACAATTATGAGTCTCCATAAAATTTAATACACGCATAATATGTTTAACGACTCTCTTTTATCTGCCTTAATTAACAGCGTCATTAGTTACAATTTACAATAGAGGTGCATTAATCAGATATACACACCTTGTCATGGATTCCTCTGGTGATCCTATGTGTTGCCTGGCCTGTTGTTGTGTCAGCTTCTTTCTTTTCCTCCATTACCACCTGATTCACAAAGATAGCATTAGAGCAAATACTATTGCTACTAACTAACAAGAAGAAGAATAACTTTGGACCTGTTTGAATAAACTTCTCTGGAAGTCCTTATAGGAGAGAAAAATAAGAAAGGAAAATTGAAATAAGCATCCCCAAAAACTATAACTAACTTATTCTTGAATTAAAAATAAGATTTTGAGAGAATTTCTACAAATTAATTTATGCATAAGATTTTGAATAAACTTATTTCATTTTTCTTTCATATTTTTCTTTTTTAGAAATGTTCTTGGAAAAGTTTTCCCAAACAAACCCTTTAATTCTCACAACTGACAGTAAGAGGAAGTAGTAGCACCATACCCCATCACCACCCATCCTTCTGGTTCTGGTAGAAGTGTAATATGCACCATCTATACCGCCATAGGTTACTCTGCTCGTCTGAAAAGAAATCTTCCGCGTCTTCGAGGGTTTGGTCGTGTGATGGTCATCCTTGTAAGTTGCATCACTGTTCTCTGCTAGCCATCACAGAAAGCAGTACAAATATCAGTAAAGCAACAAAAGCCTTTTGACACAACTTAATAAGATCTCTACATGATTTACACACTATGTTAAGGACTAAAGTTTCAGAAAATTCTATCGTGAGTAATCTACTCTATGTTTAGTATAGCAAATTGTTGTCTAACCTGTTTGAATAAACTTCTTTAATATCTTTAAAAGAAAAAAAAAATAGGTTAAATATTTTATAAAACTAGTTTATAAGTTAAAAATAAATTTTTTTCCAGAAAACTTTTACGAATTAGTTTATTAACCGAGAAACTCATTCCACTTTTTTCTTTATTTTTTTCTCTCTTAAAAGTGCTTTAGAAAAGGCTACCTAAACATGCCCTAAGAATCGAACGCAACCCTCCTCCTTTAACAACAACAACAACAATAATAATAATAATAAAAAGAAAATAAAGCAAGAACAGAATGAGAATATTACCATCCTCATCATCATCTGGATGTTCAACCGATGGTTCCATGGTCGAATTAGATTTTTTCTGATCAAAATCCTTGTCGCCGGTTTCAGGGCAATTACGAGCCCCCTCATCATCAGAGTCTAATTCTTCTATAACTATTCCTTTTTCTTTGTTTGTCCTCTGCATAGCTCTCGATGCAGAACTTGGACCGAGCAAGCTACCAAATGGGTCAGTGAAAAAGGGATCATCAAATGGATCCCTGCCTCCAAAAAGACTTCGCATCATACTGTTAGGAAATCCAAAGCCACCAAAATCTCCAAACCCTCTTGGTTCAAAAATGTTATCTTCAACTCCTCTACCCCTCTGCATCTTCTTTATCTGATCTTAACACAAGAAAAATCCAAAAAAAAAAAAAAAATTCACATAAACGTGCAATCAAAAAGTTGAATAATTGAGAATATATAACATTGAACATAGTCATATAGATATAGCTCGTAACAAGTTTGGAAAAACATGAATTCAGAAGAACGATCACAACCAAGATATCCTTTTTACACGTGAGATCAGACAAATGGGGCTTAATAAGGGATAACAAAAGGGACATAAAAAATTAATGTTCTAGGGAAAAGTAGAAGAATTAGAAATGCAATTGATTTGAATGAACAAAGGGATAATTATTACAAGATGAGGTTACCTTACGAATAGGATGAGAATTGGATTGAGGGAGAGAAGGAGGCAGAACAAGATCCTATGTCATTTGTTGTTTGTAAAAATAAAGGGAACAATTTATATGGTAGAGACACGACACGGAGGGAAGGACACGTGGATTTTGTGTCGTTTATTTTACGTAAACTAGAACATTCGGGCTCTCTCTCTCTTTCTCTTCATGGGTACAATTTTTAATACCTTTATTATGATTTCCAGTTTTTTAGATTATCACATTTACTAAAGTGGGATAACACAGAAAAAGAAGTATATGTATGGTCATAAGTTACATTAGGGAAATTCCCATGTGTCAACTGAATATTTAAATGCATATAAAATGTATAAACTTATAAATAGTCCTACTCGTATGTATATACTGTTTATGATTTTGTTAATTTTTTTTTATCGGTCAAAATTATAATGTAGACAACAAAATTTAAACTGATTTTTTTTTATGATTAAACTGAGAGTTTTATACTTATTATTTCAATTTCACTATCAGACCAACTCTTTTTTTTTTTTTGTCATCTTTTAATATTAATTACTTATTTTTTTCATAACCTAAGTCGTGTTTAGAGTACTTTTTACTGACATATTTATTAGAAGTTAGGGAAATAACCATTTGAAAATACAACTTATAATTATTATTATTATATTAAATTTTGTTTTTATTTTCAGCGGCTAAGTGGCAGCACGCAGCAAGTTAAATAAAATATTTATTAGAAAAGGCTAAACTAAAATCAAAATAAACTAATATTTTTGAAACACCTTGCGTAGTTTGGACGAGTTAAGGCAGTGATAAAAAAAAATAAACGTTATTTTATTTTAAAATTGACAAATAATAATGTCATAAAAGACCAAAATAAATCAGAATCATATTTATATAGACTTAAAACATATTTAAGTCAAAATTTATTTTAAAAAAAAACTGAACTTGTTACACTCGGAGGTAGCCTAAGTTGAAAGAAAAGAATCCAATGTTTTGTCCCATTTTATCATTTGTGAAGTAGGCATTGGGATGAAAAAGGCCAGAAATCATAAACCACCAAGGCCCTAATTTACAGTACTTGTTCTTTACTCCTTCACTACTTCAACCTGGGCCTCATAAAAAGGTAAATGGAGCATTTTACTGCCAAGAATGTGTATCGGATGAAGCATTTATTACTCGATAAGCTAAGTTTAGGAGAATTAAACATTCTTCTAAAATCAAGATTGTGTTATATATATATATATATAAACGGTTAACCCCTGTGCCTCTGATCTGGGCCTGTTAACACTCAGTAGTAGTTTGTAGTAATGAAACAAATATTAAAGCATTTTGCTATTGAATGTTACAAATTGATAGAAGACGATTGGTTTTAAATCTTCAATCGAATTTCATCCATAATATCAGTGCTTGACAGCTCACTTTATTTAGAAATTATTAAGTTCTTAAATTTAAATATCATATATATATATATATATATATATATATATAGACCATGATGAAGGTGAAAACTTTTTTGCTACATATAAATGAATCCATTTATTTATCTTCTATATGATTTATCCACAAATAAATTCATTCAATCCATCTATTACAATAAAAATAAATAATAAATCAAATTTAATTTATTCATGTAATTTTATAAATAATTAATAATCCATTCACAATTTTTTCAAAATTCATTAATTTACAATATAAGATATTTATTGGATTGAAATTTTAAACAATTATTTTGACATAAAAAATAGTTTTATAAATGTTAAAAGACTATATAAAAATGTAATCCTTATAAAGAAAACACAAAAATAAAGTATTTTAAAAATAAAAATATTTAATTTTTAAATGGATTAGATATCCCCACGTAAAAAATTGTTAATAGATGAATTAGATAAACTTTTATTTTAAATGAATTAGATGAATTAAATTTGTATGTAAAATTTTAATGAATCTAAATCATTTGATAAATTATTTTCATTTGATACATTATGATTTGTTTAAAAAATTATCTGATTGATTCATTTGTTACCCTTACTCCAAACTACCCAAATTCCTAACTAGGTAGTGTGTTTAAATACCTCCTAAAATCAGTTTTCACCCTAAAAAATGAAAATCATGGTAAAAAAATTGAACAGATTATTTGTGTCAACGTGATTTTTGTAATTAATTTTGGTAGAATTGATAGTTAATTCAAATATACATAACTCAATTCTAGTGGCTTGTTGAAAGTGAAAAAATGAATAAGCATTAATCCTGGAATTTATTTAAGAAACCCCTCCCCAGTAGTTCTTTTCAGAAAATAGGATAGACAATAAAAAAAGACTAAGTTAATTGAATTTCATAACTTTAGTAAAAAACTCATTCAACTTGATAAAATTCGGAGACTAATGCAACTAGAGAATAAATTCCAGCTCTAAAAAAATGCAATTTCACTCAAAAATTGAATAAAAAAGTTAAGAATATTGCATTGCTTGACAAACAGTTCCTAACAACTATGGGAACATAAACACATTAGCCCCTCAAAGCATCATCACACCGCCCTGCCCCCCATTGCTACCTTCATTTGAGCATGACACAAGCACCTTTAAAAAACATTTTTTAAAAAATAGACAAAACAACATACTAGGTGTCTGTGCAGACGAATTGAATGGGGCCCACATTTACTTACACGCTAGATTCTGTTAGAGAGTGAAAGTAGAGGGTTGTGGAATCTCCATATCTTTTGTTACATGATGTGGATATATATTAGCATTTAGAATTATTGGGAATCAAAGTCAGGTTTTGATGGATACTCAAGACCTTGTAGAGCTGGCATCTTTCGTATATCTTCATCTGAATAAGCAGGAATGAACCAGTATTTTTTGTCCATCCCAAAAACCTGATATCAAAGCAAACATCAATCATAATGTAACCACAAGGTCCTCATACACAGAATAAGAGTACCCCACCCCAGTCATGCAAGGACTGAAGTGCATCCAACATGAATGATTTTATACTTTAATACCACTAACATGCCCCTCAAAAAGAGCCTATTTGGATTGAAGTGTAGACAATGTCTTACCTCTGCTAAAATTTAAATTTTATTTAGAGACATGGAGGCAGTGAGGATCAAGCTCTAGAACATTTCATGCCATTAACCAACTATTCCAAAAGCTTAATTCATTAGGTGAAGAGACAAGACAAATTTAATGATTTTATACTTATATGTCTCTAACATTATTTACATATAGGAATAGGATACAAGAATACAACTTAATTAGGATATAACATATAAGATAATACAAGGACAAATAAAAACCGTGAGAGAAAGAGATCCGCTTACTCCAAGAGTAAGTCATGGTAAATTTATTCCACTCAATAACTCATTTTCTATATCAAATTTCAAAAACTCAATCGTTAAATTAAAATTTATTAATATAAAGATCAAGTCTACAAATTTAAAAAAAAAAATTGAAAATTATATGATATTTCATTATAAAGATTCAAATCAACGTATAAAATATTTTTATGATTATCTGTCAATTTAAATTAATGAAACAAAGTATTAAATAGTTTCAAAATTTTAAAAAATTTGAAAAGTTGATGTATTCATTAAGAACTTTTAATTTAACGGTTAGATCACTCATGTTTGATGTAGAACACGAGTTAGTGAGTAAAATAATTTTATCAAAACTTATTCTTGGAGTAAGTTCGAAACTTACTTATTAAAGTAAATAAATCCTTCCTCATATATATATATATATATATATATATATATATATATATATATTGTACTGCCCGTACCAAATACCGAGTTCCACGCCGGCCTTAATTGCGCTACCACGTACGCGGGCCCATAGTCAACAAGGCCTGCGACCAATGTTGGGCCGACTTCGAACCTACTCTCGCCCAAAGAGAGAAAACCCTAAATTCACCAAGGTATGTCTGCTATAAATACGAGAAATCTACATTATCAAGAACTAATTTTGACATCAGAGTCTCTTTTGCAAGTACCACCCCCATCTCGGGACGACCGACATACCTAAGAGGAAAGGCTCATCAATCTCATCAGAGTGATCGCCCCTCAGGCCGCCCTCGGTCCTCAGGTGAGAACATATATATATATATATATATATATATATATATATATATATATTGTACTGCCCGTACCAAATACCGAGTTCCACGCCGGCCTTAATTGCGCTACCACGTACGCGGGCCCATAGTCAACAAGGCCTGCGACCAATGTTGGGCCGACTTCGAACCTACTCTCGCCCAAAGAGAGAAAACCCTAAATTCACCAAGGTATGTCTGCTATAAATACGAGAAATCTACATTATCAAGAACTAATTTTGACATCAGAGTCTCTTTTGCAAGTACCACCCCCATCTCGGGACGACCGACATACCTAAGAGGAAAGGCTCATCAATCTCATCAGAGTGATCGCCCCTCAGGCCGACCTCGGTCCTCAGGTGAGAACATATATATATATATATATATATATATAAACACAATTCCTACACAAGCATCAGCATTCAAAACAGATACTAATGTTGTGTTGGCCAAATTCAAAAAATTAGAAAATTAGGAACAATGGGCCTGGTTGTTAAATTTAAGTGTTGGCCTGTTGGTAAGCCTTAAATACTAGTTCTTATCCGATACATTTTCAAGCTAAATTTAGTTCAAAGAAAAACAATGTAAAGTTGGTTTTATTGTATTCCATTGTTATGAATGGTCCTTTTTTCCTCTTTACTATTTGTTTACTTTCTCTTAAGATTTAAATTGAATCTTTCCTTATCCATGTTCTGTCTCTCTATATATTGATACATTACCTTGTGCAACATGAAAGCAAGTAATTTTAGCTTGAATTATATAGGATAGATAATCTGCAAACTGACATTTTGAACAGCAATTGAGCGTACACAGACCAGTGTGTGTCAGTTTTATTTTCCAATGATGCACGCTTAGCCATTTCTCATAACTCTTAATAAATGATCATGTCCCCTTTACCCCTTATTTGTTAGCGCATAGACAGACTGTTAATATATGGATTTTATTCAAGTGATGTTAACACTGTTTATCAAAGAATTTTTAAACAGTCAGCATGAAAATCAACTACAAAAAGAACATGTAACAAAAGTAATGTAAAACAATGTGATTCAGTGAGTACATAGCCACACACTGACCTGCTCAAAATTTTTCCGACGACCAAGGTCATAACGCCATTTTGGAGTAGTTTTCTTCTCATATGCCTGTCAACATGAAACAAAATTTGATCAGTACTCACTTAACATAAGCCATTTCCAACACAACAAAGAAAAGCACATGAAAATATATACTATAACATTTTTATGACACACATAACATTTACCTCTGCACCAGAGGGTACAGTTTACGTATCATTAAATATTCATCTATTAAAATGCAACAAAACACTGTCATTCAACAAGGAGTAGAACAGTTTCTTCAGGTGAAAGTCAGAAAAAGTATTCAGGATATACTTTCCCAAGGATCTACTTTCTCAAGTCAAAGAAGCAAAAAAAGTAACAAAATTATCTCTAACTTATTTTTATTGAGAAGTTTACCTCAATAGTGGTTGTATTAGCTGACACCAAAGATATGTGCATAATGAGAAATCCCAAGACGCTCAGTGCAAAGGCCAGGTTTAAAACTGCAGGTAATCCAACACTGTTATAGAAATTCACAGATGGAACCAACAGCTAGAACCATGTTCTGAGACCCTACCAAAAGCAAGAAAAGTTGTAGCAAGGGAGCCAGGGGTTCCAGGGATTTCTCCATCACTAAAGAATGATATGAAATGTGGCAGCAGGGATGCAGTCACTAGAGTTGTCTCAAGAAACGTGTAGAACTGCACTAAGATTTAATCAAATCACATTAACAAAGGTAAGTATTTGTATAAATAGCAAAAAATAAAATGAATAAATTTACAATTATCAATGTTATCATAACAGGAAAAATATGAAACATACTATATTTCAAATCATATACTTAATAGTGATACTAATGACATTTGTTATAATATAAAACAATCAGTCTTTTAAAAGTATAAATACTAGAAAAAAAATTACTAATTAGTTAGCCTTAACATGGTCACTTGTAAAACACCAAGCACATAACGCTAGGTCCAAGCATGAAATTCATATTTAATCTGCTCACTGGGATTAGAATTAAAAGAAAAAAGTCTCTGTTCTTTGCCACTTTAGACAGAAGAAGCCATTTTTCCTACACCTCCATAAACTTATAAAAAGTAACATCATCCACTATGGCACCAAAGGTGACAAATCAAAAGCAACAAAATAAATATCAAAATTAGGACTACATTAGGTCCTCAAAGAAAGTTTCTGACTGGCCGTATAGACTATAACAGGGAGATCAAAAACTGCAACTGCTGGTGGCTCAGTTATTCTAACAGCACAGCTTAGCCTAAGCCATGGAACATGACAATTGGCAAAAAGTCTCTTTTTAAGGTTGCGCACCCTGCATTGTCATAAATAAGTTCCACTTTCAAGTTTCAATTCAACACAATTAGTATAACACCATAGCACATGAATAGCACTTGGATAGTCCAGAATAAGAGCACTCATCCATATCAAGAAAAGAAGTTTGATCTGCATTTCAAAGTCAGTAGCATGGATAATTGGCAATATTAATTATTCAAGCACGTAACAGAAAAGGACATTTTAAACCACACTAGACATAATACAGTATATCTCTGTCTCTAACTTCAAAATAATTGAACCCAGCAAGTAATATAAAACAGTGTAAATCACAGGATTATAAGCACAGCTCTAAGAGTTGGTCACATCAAATAGAACCATTACAAGTTTGAAATAATACACTTCACATGAGTAATAATTAGAAGAAAAAAACAATACTCCAGCTAAGGCGTCCATACCAAGAATAGAAGGAAATACTTGTAATTTAGAGCCCCAACACAGTTGACTACCCACACACAATGGTGGTCCATCTTCAAAACACAACGTCCACCTGATATAAAGCCAAAAATAAAAAATCAAATTTATGCTGACTTGATCTTAAACGTGGCAATTCAAAAATGGAAGCCTTTGTACACAACAAAACTCACAAACTGAACAATGATGGCATCGAGGTGGCTTTAGCTGGTTGCACTTCCGACAGTACCGAATCCGTTGACTGGGATCAGACTGCACATTACTAAACTCTGTCCCAACTAACGGATCAGCCTCTCCTCTTTCCTCATCAATTGTAGGTCTCCAGTTTGGTGGGACACTCCCCGGATCGGTAAAAACAACAGAGAAGTAACTCCACAACAGCATAACCAACTGCATAATTGAGAGAAAAGAAATCCAAATTACAATATCACTCCATTCACACACCAAACAACCACACCTCCTTAATCCATCAAACTAAGGATCTATTTAGATAAACTTTTCCAAAATCACTTCTAGGAGAAAAAAATAAAAAGAAAAATTGAAATAAGCTTCTTCAAAAACTAAAACTAACTTATGCATAAGTTAAAACTATGATTTTGAAGAAGCTAATAGGAGATAGCGTCTACAAATTAGCTTATGTGTGATCTAATTTAGCTTGTAGAGAAGCTTATTTCATTTTAACTTCATATTTTTCTCTCCTATGAGTACTTTTGGAGAAGTTTACCAAAAAAGCTTTAACTATATAACTTTAACAGAAGCTGAAATATCTACACCGCATTCCAGTATCCGACAAAACACCGAAGTCAAAATTAATTCCCACATTCCAAACATCATGCTCAACTGCCTTCCATAAAACTCACTCTTCGGTAAAAGTGTAATGACCCGCCATAGTCGCCACACTTTGTAGAGTCACTAACACTAACAACTAAAGCTAAGTTACTGGAATGTACAAGATTAATAAAAGAAAATATACCATACATATAAGTATCATGAATTAAAACAACACACTCTAGCTCATCACAGAAGCAATAATATAACTTTCCTGTTGAAACACATCAGTGAGCATCTGATGCCGAAACAAACACCTCTAAAAACCAAATAAAGGATCATGATCCCTAACTAAAAATTATTTGCAGCTACTTATAACAATCTAAAGTCAAACACAGTCAAACACTGACAAACATCCCACATTCTTCCCCTCAATTTCCTATGAAATAAATCAAAACATTCGAAGAATCTAAATAATCACAAAATTCAAAATAAGAAAACAGCTCTAGAAGCTTACCAAGCTGTGAAACAAGATCAACACTACCAAGGCAACAAGAGAATCAAGTCCTCCAGCATACAAAGCAGGGACATAGCTGGTCAAAACAACAGCATAGTAAGTGACACCAATGACCCCAAGAACCAACAGAATCATGATCGAGCCCAGTCCTCGCAGAGCAGTGCAGAACTTGAACACGTTCCAAGCCATCGTAGCTCCAGATCTATGCATACTCGAGAGACCCACCAAGATTCAACCACAAAGCTCGTTACTTTTCCTTCGTCACGGTGACCCCACAAACGAAACACGACCAGATGTTATGAAAAATTGTCAATTTCGTCGAGAGGAACACATGACGATGCTCCGACGCAACAACCTCGGAGCCTAAAAGCTGTTGCTCAAGTCGTGGGTTTCTTGTTGGGTCAGTGGGTTCGGTGAATCTAGGGTTTATGGAGAAAATTGGGTTCGAAAAGAGGGAATTTGATTTTTGGGTGGTGAAGAAGAAGAAAGTGAACACAGCACCGAGAGGGATGAAACTATGAAAATGCTGGATTTGTTTTTTTTTCTTTTTTTAAATTAGACAACAGGTATTTTTGCACTAAAGAAAGACAAACTTGTTCCACGCATGTAAAACATTTAAGTTTAAAGCTCTTTTTAAAAAAAAATATATTTAATACAAATAAATATCATGATTTTAAATTTAACATCATTCATTAAATTCATTAATTAAATTAGGTAAATTCAATCTCTTTAATTAATTTGTTATATTATTTTGATAAAAAAAATTATAAGAATTATAGGAACAACTCTGTTGAATTAGTAGGATTACTTTAATTGACAAAGTTAATTAATATTTTTGTTTTATGTTTACTTTTATTATTTTTCTTCTAAATTCTTTTTTTTTAAGTATTCTACAAGAATTGGGAGAAGGTTCTGACATGTGCTAAGGTGCAATTAAGTTAATACTTAATACTCCTTGGTTACATTTGAGTTAATCATTTATACACTGTCAATTTTTTTTACACTGACAATTAATTATATTCTTTAATTGTGTCATGTTACTATAAATATATTTATTTTTACTAGTGACATGACATAATTAAAGAATATAATTGATTATTAGTGTAAAAGAAATTTACACTAATAGTGTATAAGTGATTTTTTTTTTTCTTGTTGATCAAGTTTTTATCTGTTAATTAGTTGGTGGCTTTTTTTTTAATCAGAGTTAGTTGTTGATTAATACTATTATTAGTAATTAATAATAAATGGGGATGGAATATCCAACAGCTGTGTTATTTTGGTCAAATATCTAGAAGGTGAGAGACATAGGATTTGACAGGTTCAATTTATCAGAGTGAACCCTTCGAATTAGAATGGAAAAGGATGGATACTGCCTGATGGGTGTATAATTTCTGTATGAATGTCATTTTCATAATTAATAAGTTTTTTATATATTAAATTTTAAAGGTTAAAATATTTCTTCAATTTTTATATATTCAGTTACTTTACTTTTCTCTCTCTATATGACATTTTTAGTTTTTATATATTTTTTAACTTTTTTAGTATATATAATTTAAGATAGATTCTTTTAATTTTTATATATTTGCAATCTTTTAATTAATTTAGTCTCTACTATTAATTTTTTTGTAATGTTATATTTTTGTGTTGACATGATAAAAGTATTAAAATTTATATTTCTGATGTTCAATCTATTTTATCTTAAATTAGATCTTATTATATTTTGAGTTTTTTTTTTAATCATGACATTCATTGTTAAAATCATCATTTTGTCACTCACACAAAACTAAAGACATTTATCACATTAATAAAAGAAATGATGTTATAAAAGAAAAATTAACATTATAAACTAAAAAAAATAAAAATAAAATAAAAAAATAAGTATATAAACTAAAAATTATATATCTTAAACATACTTAAAAATGATTAATAAAGATAAACATAAAAATTAAAAAATATTTATTTTAAATTATAAATACTAAAAAAAAGTAAGTAAAATTATGAAGAATATAAAAATATTTTAACTAATTTTAAAAATTATAAATCGAATATATGTAGCTTAGTGAAATAAAATTAAATGTAATAGTAAAATCATACACTTAAGTCAAAACATAAATTACTTTAAATACTAAATTTTTTTTTTAAAAATGACAAGTTATTTTTTAAATACGTCATGACATCTTAAATCTGTACTTACATGTAATTAGTATTAATAGTTGTTTGGCTTAAATATATTTTTAGTCCTTAAAATTTAAGATAAATTTATTTTTGGTTCCTCAAATTTAAAACTGTTATTTTTAGTCTTTGTAATTTTCAAAAATCTTGTTTTAGTCTCTTAAGTCACTAATAACATATTTGAAAATGACTAATTACGACAGTTATGTAATATTAATTGAATTTGATGTGATATTTTTCCTAATAGGGACACCAATAGGTAAATTTTATACAATAATGTTTGATAAATTTCTTAACAAAATTTGAATATAAGAATTAAAATAAGATTTTTTGAAATTACAGGACTAAAAATAACAATTTTAAATTTAAGGGACCAAAAATAGATTTACCATAAATTTGAGGGGCTAAAAACATATTTAAACCTAGTTATTTTTTTAAATTGTGACTATTTCATTTTCTTTAATGAATATGCAACGTGAACTTGAATTTAAATGGATTTTAAAAGATGAATATTAGTGTTAGTTTTAATGTTAACAGCAGGTAGTAAATGAAACGTTTCATTTTAGATTTTCAAAAAGGAAAGTATAATGGCATATTTTTATTATAGCACTTATACATATTTATAAATAAGGAGTGTCATAATATAATTATTTTTCTCGAGTTGAGTGATATCTTTAAGTTCTAGTTTTATAATACTAACAATTACAAAGAACTAAAGGGATATTTAAAATTCATGATTCTTATATAATAAATGATAGTACGTAACTTTTTTTAATAATGAAAATTTTCTTGAACCATAGAGCATCTTGATCTTTTTGAGAGAAGAGAGAAACCAAAATTTTCACTCCCTTCGACTCTTCTTTTTACTCTCTCTATCTATAAGATTTGGGAGATTACTTTTTTATTAGGGAAGAAATCTTGTTTCATGTTAGTAAATATTTATAATCCCTTAAAAGTATTATTCCCATCAAATAAAAATTATTCTCAAAATCTATTCCATTAAGTCTATTTATAATTTAGTCGTTAATTATGTAACTAATTATTTATTAGTCTCTTTACAAATCATATTTTTCATATGAAACATAATTATCTTACAATATATACAATCCCTAAGTATAACAAAAAAAATATAGTAAAAAGACAAATAGTTGCATATACATATCCCAAAAGTTTTGAAGCCTAGGTCTACCCAAATCAAATACATAGAAGAAAAAGGTCCTAGATTAAGAGCAATCATTGCTAAACCAAATCATGCATGTCAAACTAAACCTCTAAAAAAAAGAAACAAATACAAGGATAACAAAGGTAAAGAAGAAATATCTCTATGATGTCTATCGGTATTGTCATTTGGTCCTAAAAATAAAATATAAAGGTGAGTCACCATGCTTTGTCAAACAAACAACGACTTTAATCAAAGTCTCTCACACAAGCTAGCAATATAATGAATTCACTCTTAATTATCACTCGTTTTCATTACAAAATCTCTTACTTCTTTTCTATTGGTCAACTGCCACTCGAACTCCAAGAACTTGTTAATCTTACATAATTTAGTTTGGAGAATTGTTTAGAGTACACCCTTCAGCATGGTATAATGTGAGGCTCTCACCAATTGATGATTGTTCGCACAATCAATGTTGCCAAGTCAACTATGTGAATATTGTTGTCAAAACCCAACACCTATGCCCCAATGATGATCACATTGCACGTAATAATCTCTCCAAATACCAATTATGGTCATCCACACTCTGAGGGACTAACTCCTCAACACACTCCTCACTCATTGTTTACATTTTTTTCATTGTAGGGTTTTGTGTAATAAGGTACCTGACAACAACGAACTAGCATACAAGCATTGAGACCCCATCTCAAGCTCATCAGTTATAATATTTTTGAAGGCCTCATCTTCCGCACTTCACTTGGTGCATACTTCATTCTACCTCCATCATAATTTTCCTCCAACCATATACCTTACATGACTTTGTATTCTTTACTCTTTTCTTGTCACTATGGGTTCAATTACTCGATATCGGATGACATCAAACTAACACGAGCTGTAACATTTCTTGGATGAAATGCCCCACTAACTCTTTTTTTTTATACTTGTAACATCTTGTTATGCACTCACATTTCCAATACACGTATTTCTAGCTAAATCCTATTACTATTACTATAACAAGGTTCTAGTCATTCCAAGTATCACACAAACAATTACATGCTTATACATTTTTAGTGCCCAAGGTTCACACTCCTCCTTTTCTCCAATACAGTTTCACTTCAAAATAAATGCATTGTACACAACAGTTAACAATTGCTTAGAATTCACACTTTTCAAGTCTTTTAATTAATTTAAAAGAGCAGGCTAAAACAGTTATTCATAAATTACTAAAAATAATTAAATGTAATAAACAAAAAATCACTATAAATTCATGTTAACAATGTCAACAAGTCATACATTTAGCCATCATAATATTTATTCATTAATTAAACACAATTACAATGCATAAAACACCACATTCATTCTACTAGTTAATAGGAAAAAAACATGCTTCCAAGAAACATAGTAACATTTTTAATACTAAAACTTTTTACATAGAGATAAGGTTGATTAAACTAGCTTTCTAGAATAGTATCCCGTCAATTAAACAAAAATCTATAAAGTTTCATAGAAACTTTAGAAGTCAATATGATAAAAACTAAATCCAAATTTGACATAGTTCAAACCTTTACAAGTTTCTCCCTTATTCCAAACTTAATTTGCATGAGATTTTTTACATATTAAATCCAACATATTTATCTTTCCAGAAAGCTAAATTTTGTGCAAAAATTCTGAAAACATAGAGGGGACAACTTAAAACATCTATCTATTCAAGAGCCAAATACTCATTGAAGGTTTTCAACTTTAGCCTTTCTGAGTAGCATAATCGATATTCGTACAATGAGATACGAAAAATTTCAAAAATAACTTTTCTCTCCTCTAACTTTCATGTATCTTAATTGAGACATGTATGACATAACCACATGTTTAACAAGTTAACAACTCCAAACATTTATCAACTTTATACACGTACAACTTTACCACTTAATCAACTTACTCAACTCTAATCAATTATCAACTTAAAACATTACTACATATCATTCTAGACTAATGCATAATGAAACATAATTATATAACATTCTATGGCAATTAATAAAGCATTACTCTTCATATGATTTTCAAGACTTGGTCAAATTCCACCAAGTTTTAGCAAATAAACCATGCCCATCGCCATTGTCTTCACATCTGATGCTATTGAGGTAGAGAACCTTGAGTCTTCCCACACCTGACGCTAAACCACATGCAATTGACGTGGATAAGATAGAGAGTCTTTGTGTCAATCACACCTGACATAGAAAAATCCACATTCAAACCCATTTCAGGTAGAAAATCTCTGCCTAACTCATGCTTGGTGCCACTACACTTGCACTTGGCGTTGTCCAGACAAAGAGCCACTATTTTGGTCATGTCTGGTGCCTCTCAACCTACGTTTGGTGTCACCAAGTCAGAGAGCTTTCAGAGCACTCATGCTCGACACCTCTCATTACCACATGTGACCAAGTTAGAGAACTCCCCACCAATCCACACTTGGCGCTACCAATCTTGTGCCTAGTGAGGTCATGACAAAGAGTCCCTAACTTGATCCACACTCAGTGCCATGAAGAATTTCACACTTGTCAAAGTTTTCATTTGGCTTAAACCTGCATGAAATTCAAATCATTTCAGAATGCAATATATAGGGAAGCCCCTGGAGTTTTAGTCCTCAACAAGGGTCGTCTCACGCCCGACGTGAATGACCTCAAGAGCTATCCTTAACCTCAACCTCGATGACACCTGACGAGCCAAAGGTGGCACCTGATGTCATATCAGAACACATACCTTCTACATAATTGCTAATTATCAACCACATATAACAATCATCCAATTCATGATTCAATTAGTAGAAATGTTTTGAGAAACATGTTATACTTCTAAAAGGCACAAATTATACATACCAATTACATACTCATCTAATCTCCTTATACATTTACTAATGTATTCCCTTAGGATTTTCATAGGAACCCACGAGCAATCCAAGATTCACAAAATCAGTTCAATATACGAAATTAAACATACATATATATATCAAATATATCAATTAGAACATTGAAGAATTATATGGAAGTCAAAAACACAAGATCAAATAAAATTTGAGATTTCCCCCTCAAACAATGCATACAACAAAAAAGGAGATTGAGACTAATCTCACTACCCAAAATATGTCCCACGTCTAGAGCGAGACTAGTCACTCCCTCATTACTCAATAGACACTAGAAGAAGGACGTGGATCTTCAAAGTGATCTTCCACAAGTTCTAGTTCTTCCAAATCTCCAAAGTGCAAGATTACGAGAAAAGAAAAGTAACGAGGGTAAAAGGGAAAACTGATACAACTCCTCTTTTAAAGCTTAACTCCTCACTAACCCAATAATTAAAACAACCAACTCTAGTTACAAAACCTTTCCATCAAATAATAAAATAAATATTCAATTATAAAACTACATAATACACACATATATATAATGGTTAAAACAATTATTAATACTAACCCAAATAATTTTAAAAATAAATACTAAATAAACAATTATATTAATTAAAAAAATTTAGAGTGTTAAGTACACATATTTATTAATGTTCATAATACAAAATCCTAATTGAAAAAGCCTTTTAATTTTTTTTTAAAAGTCATTAAATTCCTATGAAGTCTTTTAAAATGCACAAGATGTTTTTATATTAAAAAATTATATGAAATTTCAATCTAATACACTCTCTTAATATATATTTTAAAATTCTTGCATTTCAAATAACAAAAACAGAAAATATATTTAATATAAATAATTTTGTAAAGTAAAAAATCATTGATTAAGACATAATAAATTGAATCTTCTAAAAAAGTATCAAACCAATTTAAAAAGAGCATATAATAAAGACAGAAGAGAGTAACTATTATTTACTAATCGGTAATAGGATTGATCAAGCTAACTTATGTTACGAGACACATGATGTTATAAGTAGAGTATTTTAATTTTTTAAGGAGATATTTCTTCTTAAATAAATAATTAGATTAGTCTTGAAATATTTGTGCATCGATTTGGGTCACTTATCATCTTAAACACAATTAGATGGTAACAATATAAATTTAAAGAATCATATTTAAAATTGGCCCTTTCTAAGCATTGATTCCAAATTTGCAAACCCATCAAAATTCCCCCAAACCTTGTATGAAAGCTAAGCAATATCGTATATGACAAACAAACTTGTTTATCTCTCTACCATGTACACTTCTAACAAGATCACTGCATCTAGCGTTGCATGTGCTTTCCTTGGAAGTTTCATCCCTATTGACTTTGATCCAACCTATGGGAGGAAAATGCAAACGAATATAACAAAAAGGGGCATGAAAGGGCTTATAACAAAAGTCAAAACTTTCGATTACATCATGAATCCAAAAAAAAAAAAAAATTAAAGATAGGAGTCAAAGGTTGTGATGGTTTTTTTTTTTTTTTTTAAAGATAGGAAAGATTACAAAGATAGTCACAATAAAAATTGAACCTAGGTCCTCATGCTTCTAATTACTCAAATCCTTCCCCATCCAACCATTAGGCTAACCCTAGTGGTCAAAGGTTGTGATGATTTAATAAAATCTTCACTTAATTATAATTTTAATCCTTTAAATTTGATATATATATATATATATATATATATATATATTAAATTTA